AAACATGTTGGAACTCCACTCATTGGAATTTAGCAGAATGAGAGGTCAACTCATTAAAAGATATTGAAAGGATTCTCATGGGGTTTGACAAGGTAAATGTGATGTTTTCTCTCACTGGAGAGTCCGGGACCAGACAGTATAGTCTGAGAATAAAGGGGTGCCAATTTAAGACTGAGATGAAGAATAATTTCTTCTCCTGAAGAGCTGTGAATCTTTGGACCTCCTTGCCACAGAGTGTGGTGGGGACAGAGTTCATAGATCATAGAATCTCTACAGTGTGGAAACAGGCCCTTCAGCCCAACAAGTCCACACTGACCCTGAGTGCATCCCACCCCCACTTTAACCCACCTAATCTACACATCTCTGAATACTTGGGGCAATTTAGCATGGCCACTCCACCTAGCCTGCACACCTTTGGACTGTGGGGGGAAACTGGAGCACCTAGAGGAAACCCACACAGACACAGGGAGAATGTGCAAACTCACACAGACAGTCGCTTGAGGATGGAATTGAACCCAGGTCCCTGACACTGTGAGGCAGCAGTGCTAACCACTGAGCCACTGAGCCACTGTGCCACCCCTTATTGATCAGAAGGGAAATCCAGAGGTATGGGAAAGGGCAGAAAAGTGTAAGTGGGGAGAGTTGGATCAGACATGATCCTATTGAATGGACGAGCAGGCTCGAAGGGCTGAATGTCCGACTGCTCTTATCTCTTATGCTCTTATACTTGATGACCCCTATGGACATGATCAGTCGAAGGACTTTTTTACCCTGCTAAGACTCTATGACATTGTGAGAGGTGGTCTGTAAATGCAAGTCTTTCTGTCAAACATGCACTTCAAAATTGCTGGAATGCTTTACACACCAATTTATTTTTTTGCAGCAGTTCTTTGTTGCATCATATAGTCATGCATTGGCGAACAAGTAAGCTTCGCAAACTACGCTTTAGAGCAGGTTCTGCCTCTTGTAGCAACTTGACGTATCGAGAGTTGCCACAGTAAGGCTTCACCCCCCTCCCATGATAAATATGTTTCTTTTTCTCTCTTTTCCCCCTCGATCTTGCTGCAACTTGATCGCAACCATTCGATTCTCATGGAGCCCCCTTCGCTGATTGGGCCGCCAGCCTCCAGCTGCCTGCGCGTCCATTGGACGATTGTCCGCCTTCCTCTTGGATACAGAGACGGGCCCGTCTGATTGGTCAGCGGTGACGCGCGCGGGGCTGGGCGAGCTCTGATTGGTCGCGCTGGGCGGGGCCAGCTCGGCCAGGCCACACCCACGGACTGTGTAAGCGGGCGGCGATTGGCTGAGGGGCCGCTTTGAGTGACAGCTCGGTTCCGCCTTCCACCCCTCCGCCCCCCCCAAGGAGATTGTGTCCTGACTTGTTGGGGAGGAAGAGACCGGCTTTGCGGGACAAAGCCCCGTCTGCAGCCAGAGGGAGGGAGGGAGAAAGGAAGGAGAGAAAGAGAGAGAGAGGAGATCAGCAACATCGGGAGGACAGAAAAAGCTCAATGCAAAGAAAATGATCATCAGCATCAGTGAAGAAAACGACAGGAACCCAGAGAACATGGCAGCGGGGGAATATTTAAACCGCTGTCAGAGGATCTCCAGACAGGTAACCGTGCAAAAAAAAATGTGAACAAAAGGAATAGAGGAGACAGAGAGAGAAATGACCAACAGCAGTTCCCTGTACATTTAAATAACCCAATATCTTTCAGATTAGGGTCAGTGACAGGCTGGCCAGTAGCCACCCCTCACATTCCAGTCTGATCTATTTTATATATATTTTTTAATCTCGTCTGTTTTTGCAAATCTTTCATTTGCACTGTCGAGTCCGGCGACTTGCAGAGAGCTTCATTGAAACTTGTTTTGTCCAGTTGCATTTACGTTATTTTTCTTTTCTTGCTCCTTAATTCCCAAGTTAAACATTTGTCTTCCTCCTAATGCAGTGTTTCTTATTACCTACCTTCCTCCCCTCCCCTTTTTTTTAAAAAAACAAAAGTCGTGTTTGTGAATTTCAATCGCAACGATACAATGAAAAAAAATGTTGCATTTTCCTCTGAGTCGATAATTCCACTGAATTATGAGAAGAAGCTTTGTTGCAGGAGATTGGAAACTTTGCAAGAAAATGATTTTCTTAACAAGGTATTGTAACTGTTTTTTTTTCCTCCCTCACCTCTTCCAACCCCCCTCCCCACCTTCCAGTCGGCATTAATTATTATAAATTTGCAGAATCTTTCCTCGATTGCATTTCACCAATTAGTGATTCCAAAATGTAAAAATAGTCATTCTAAAATTACAGCACTGCAAATTCCACCGCATCGAAGTGTTAACTACTGCTCCGAGATAGCAAACATGTCTAATGTGTTGCTTATTTTAAATGTTCCAATTCCATTTTAGTTCAGGGGTACGATCCCTGTTGTAATGCAGTCGTCCAATATGAATCGATTAAAATGCAACCAGTTTGCATCATCTTTCCGATTTTATTTCACTCCTTTCACATCTTTTTTGTCTTGCTATAAAGAAAGCATTTGGCCAACATCGATGCCAATCAAAGTTGTTTTTCTCTTTCAGCCTTGCCCGCAGTATGTGTTCATCCAGGGCAGGGGGAGCTCTGGGAGAGATTTGCTTGTTTACATCATTGCTGGAATTATTCCAGACCCTTTTGTGATTTCATTTAAAGCTGCAGATCTCCCCTTTCAACCTGCCAAATTCTGCAGTTCACCCACTAACATGCTTGTGCATTCAGATTGATGTGTGAAGACAGACAAATAGATTTATTGTTGCAATACAATTGCATTTTTAAAGAAAAAAATTCCTGGAATGAAATTTAGGCTGGGGAACAGTGACATCAGTGAGACAAAGCCTTTTTTTTCCTGTGTCTGTAATCAGACTGGGGGGGAGGAAAACAAAATCACAAGTGGCAATTTAACTTAAATTCATTGGTGTCTGTAGTGTTTTATCAATATTTGGCTTTCTGCAATTGCTTTTCCTGTTTCTTGTTCATTTTGTCATCCTTTGTACTCTGACTTATCCACAATTTTTCTTGTCAAAGAAATTCAGGGTTTAAGAAATATATAGGACTGCTTTCATGTTTTTTGCGTCTCCGACATTTGGAATCCATTGAATCCATTACCTTTTTTTCAGTTGCTGCTTCTGTGTTTTAATTAAAGGCCTGGTGCAGAAATGTTAGGAACTGGGGCTGGAACAAAGCTCTATTGGAGTGCTGAAGCTCGCTGCCTGTTTACTAGCTCATGCTGATTAAGGTTGCCACCAGCCTCGTTTTATACTGGACAGTCCAGTTTTTGAGCTGTCTAGTCCAATTTCTAAACTGGAAACAGGATGCCTAAAAATCTGTTTCTTATAAAAACGTCAGTTTTTTTCACTTATTTATGTGTCTTAGGGCTTAATTATTTATTAAGGTCATTAAAGTTTTGAAGGAAGTTTCATCATAGTTACCACCCACTATACTACCTCTCAAGCAGTTCTGGACTGCAGGCTTTTCATAATCATAGCAAGTGCTTTCAGGCTTCTAGGTTTTGACCATTTCAAAAGGAGAAAAGACCAGAGGGGAAAATCAGACTTGATAATGGTGGATGGACAGTACTTTCAGACCTGGAGCCCATTGCACTAAGATTGGGGTTTGAACAGTGTTGATTGTGTTTGGAGATTAGCTGCCAAAGTTATTAGGAATGTGACGTTCTGTGGACTGAATATTGTAATTAATGGAAGCAGTTTATGCACGCCTTAGCCATCACAGAACTGCACCACTGTTGTTCTTTGACTGTCCTTTCAGAGAACCTTTTATCGTTCCAGTCCCTTTTCCCCACTGACCTCCAGTAAGTGCCTTTTAGGAAACAAATTCAGTGCCCAGTTTACTTCTGAAGGTGCTGACTCATACTACCCTGTGTTATATGGGCTCCTGAATTACCCGGTATCTGATGCAAATGAGTATTCTTTGTGTGTGAATTTTAACACTACTAGCAGGCTTTTTACACTATGGATCTCATCTTAACCAACCCCAATCTAGTCCTTGTCCAACATTCACATACACTTTGTGAACATTCCAGCAGGGTCACCAAGTGTGAATGGGAAGCATGAAATCTGGCTAATTTCTCACTGTGCCTAGCTTAATGGCACTCCTTTAGAATCCTTATGGCCATGCCAGCTGAGATCATCTAAATCAATATAAGAAGAGAACTAAATCTTGGAATTAACAGACCTATGTTGGTTAGCTGTAAAATGGGTAGTACATTTGTACACCGATCTATTGTGAGGCCTTTGGCACTAGCATCCTCATCGCTATGGCCCTGATCTGAGGGATTTGCATCACACAACCCTCTTGTGGTGTTTAAGGCTATGCTTATAGTCAATAAGATTCCCAAATCCAGATATTTCAATTATGCATTATAATTTGTCAAATGAGAATATGAGCAGCTTTTCTAAATATTTTGGTTGGGCTCTTCCTGGTCTTTTTGGTGTTAAGCTTGCCAAGATGGTAAGGAAGTACTGATCAAGTATAGCTAGCACCAAACTATCACCATGGAGCAAACACATTACTTAATCATAATTACCATTTATATTCAAGGCAAAACATTAGAAATGTACAAAGTGGAGGCTAGATGGTGTATAGAGAGATTTAGAGGACGAGTATCAAAAATTAATGGGATGAATGGCCTATTATTCAAGACTTTTTTTTACTCAATTTAATGTAAGATATGCATTGGACATTTAATGAAATAATTTAGGCAACTCAATGACTAGGAGTGACCCACCAAAGTAAGAAATTGATCCCCATCAAGGATAAATGTTGGAAAGGACCATGGGAAAGCAAATGTGCAACCATATTGTGTGAGAGAGAAGCTTCTATACACGAGTAATAGATGGAATAAAAAGGAAACAATTGTTTTTTAAAAACAATTTACCCAGTCAAAGTAGGTCAAATTACATTACTTCAAAGAGGTATAAACAGCAATACAGATAGTCAACTCAATGACCTTCAAAGTGAGCATTTAATAAAGGTTTATGAAAAATGGAAAATCTTCACAAGTGTTTGAGTGAAGTGTTGGGAAGAACTGATTGCCGGTGAAGAAAAGTGAAGCAGTGATTGGCAAGGAACACTTCTTAACCAGTACAGCTTCCAATTCTGGTAAGTTTTCTTACAAATTATTCTACCATGTAGTTCACTATCCAAAACATTCAACCATGTATAGTCCAGGTTATCACGATTTGAGAAATAGTCGAGATAGGATGTCAATATATTTATGATTGTCAACATTTGTCACCATTTCATGAAATATGATCATTTAAAACAAAAGAGGTGTGCAAGATACTAATTTTTATTAACTTAACCCTCAAATCCCATATTCAGAATTGTATATTCATTAGTCATAAGTTCATATCTACACAGGTTATCTTTATTACAGAACTCATTCACTCAGAAAACTGTGAACGTTTTGAGTATTGTGTGGAACCTCTGCTAACCCTATTGCTGCATTACCTAATTATATGACTTTATAAATGCCTGCAAATCGGCAAGGAGACAACTGGCTGAACAGAACCAGATTTGGTTGATCTCTTGACAGCACAAGTCTGCATCAGGTGGCCTAATTTGTCCAGCTGACAGATACCATTGAAGTCTTCTGATGGTCATCGTGCCTGGACTGTTGGAGAAATTCTGAATTCAATTTTGGATGATGTACAACTCCATGTAAACCCATCTTTGTATTAACATCTCTCCTCCCAGTTTTGTACATCATAAGATTTGCAACAATGATTCCTCATGACATAGTTGACCATCAACTTCTTGATGTTACTATGTAAAAGTATCCTTTATAGCTGATCTGTATTTTTCATTGAAGTTATTAAATAAATTATTGTCACTGATAGGTTTGGCCTAATTAATCAGAAAACAACTGATTTATCAAAACAAACTGGAAATGCACTGTTGGGATAAAGGGTATAAAACAGAAAGTAAGTACTCTAGGGATTTCCATTCAGTTATAATATCTATTGAAAAAGATTGTCAATTCTAACTTTCCCAGCTCCCTCAAAGGTATAATGGATAAACGCATTACTGGGTGTAGTTGCCAGTAGCTCAACAAGTCCCAGGCCAAATTTTCAGTCTGTGAGCATGATAGGCAAGGAAATGATCATCCGTACCTCAGCACTGGTGAAGAAGATGGCTGTCATTCATTGGCCCCTGATGAAATGTGACTGCAACATCCTGCAATAATCTCCATTAGAGAACTTCAGTGCTATGTGTCAGCTAGACAAATTAGGCCGCCTGATGCAGACTTGTGCTGTCAAGTGATCAACCAAAGATAGTTGAGTTTAAACTCAAATGTGAAGAATTGCCACTTTGGGTGATGTCTAAGAAGGCAGCCATTGTCTGTCTGTATACCAGAAAGAATTAGCAACTTCAAGAGAGTGGGGGAAGAGGTGCAGATCCAGGCAAGGAATCTTTCTTCAGCAAGGAGGTGCTTGTATTGTAACCAACCAAAAAAATGCTTGTACAAGGTAATTGTTGAAAAGGGAGACATGTTGCTGGAGTAGAAATCAGTAAGCTCCATCAGTACAAATTCAATAATGTCAAATCTCAAATAGTCACAATGATTTATACAACAGGAGAAAAATAGATGTTGAAATGTCTCCTGTTAGATGTTCTTCTGTGATTTGGCTGTACTTAATGAATAACCCTGAGTGTGCTAATCGTTACATTGGCATTCAATTTAAAATAATCAGTTGGGCCCATTGTCTCACTTATTTATACTTGCTAGAAGCAACACATATTAATCCTAGTGTCTGATCTTTCTATTATTAAAAGGAATATGTTCAAGCACTGCACCTATTTGGAATTACATGGAAATGTGAGGAGCTTGTATTTCCCTGTTTTATTCTTTATAGAAAATCCTCGGCCAATCACGGTTGACATGCCAACCGATCAGTAAACCTTTCTCTCCTGCAGTATAATTTGTTGGGATTGTTTGAAACTTGCCATTTGTCCTAATGAATGCAAGGGGAAAAGCCTGAGTAATATGTGTCTATTTTCCACAATTCGCAGAGTATTATTTGGATGATTATCCCAAATCCTTTGGTGACTGATTTTGAAAAGAGTCTTTATTGACACATTCCTGGCTCCTTGATGTTGGTGTTAAAATGCAAGTCAACTTGGGGCTGTTTTTTTTCAGCTGATATTGAGCCTGCGTTTGGATTCTGGCAGTATCCCTCGGTTGGGTAGTCATTGGTTGAATTGCTTATCAAATTACATAAGAGATGTTTAAATACAGCTTGACATTTTCGGTCCATTTCAAGTATTTTTTTTCCCACCTTACCTGTATCACTCTAGTGACAGCCATTTTTTAAAAGAAAAATCCATGATCATGAAGTTTTGATTTTGGTTTCTAAAGTGTTTTGACTAATGTGTTGTGTTTTTGACATGGTTCTTCATCTCTTGGCTATACGTATAAACTCACCATTCGAGTGATACTGCTTATTTGGGGAAAACTCAGCAGGTCTGGCAGCATCTGTGGAGAGAAAGCACAATTAACGTTTCAGGTCCAATGACCCTTCTTCAGATCTGTTCTGAAGAATGGTCACTAAACCTGAAACATTAACTACGTTTTCTCTCCACAGATGCTGCCAGATCTGCTGAGTTTTCCCAGCAATTTTTTTTTGTTTCGGACTTCCAGCATCTGCAGTTTTTGGTTACATTATATGTTTGGCTATATACGCTTCCTAATTATATCATATTTCATAAAGTCCATGAAGATCCTTCTATAATAGTTAATGAAATGTTTATGCAAATTCTACCTCCCAGATAGCTTTTACAGTTGTATCATTGTTTGTCAGTAAATCCAAATCATTTTGACAATCTCGGCCATTTTATAGACAGTTGAACGTATTAGGGCTGGTTTATCTAATGTTGGTCTGACGTATGAGGAGAATATTACATCTAGTCGCTGCCTGATGTGCTGAGTATTTCCAGTGTTTTGTTTTGCTTTTGTTCCATTTCTGACTGATAACTCATGGGGTAAAAAAAAACTGCAAAATAATGGCAGTTTGCCTTATCATCAGTAAAATCTGCTGCTTAATCACTGACTTAGCCACTGTTCAGGAATCCGTTAACTGCTTAATTCAGTGCATGCTGTAAGTAGTGTACTGTACACCAAAATAGAAGTAATAGGACTGAAGCAAATTGATGCATTGTTAGGGTTTTGTAACAGTGTAATTAACCCGTGTTCCCAAATTCTCAGGAATCGTTTATTGGAAATAATTTGATGTAGTGACAGATGTCCACTCTTTGATGTCTTTCGTAAATGTTGACTATTATTGTTAGCACTGAAATATCTCGTAGTGGAATGTTGGACTAATTTCCTACTTTAAGCGTACTGAGAGACCTTGTTACCAGAGACCCCCAGTAGTACAGAACAGATACTTTCTCTACCACCTTCCAGAACTATTTGTCAGGAAATAAATGCAGTCCTGTCAACCTCACAATATAAAAGAAGGCCCCTGATTTGTTTGGATGGTTATCCTGGTAAACTTGTATGATTAGTTTGTCATTTGCACAGGACAGCTGAACGCAAGTGTACTTTTGACTGTTTCTGCCTTGTCCCATGCTGTTGGAAATTCCGAAGCCACTCTGCAAGCTGGAGAGTTACCCAGGCCCCTTAACATCGGCAGATGAATCAAAAGTAAAATACTGCAGACTCTGGATGCCTGAAATTATAGAAACATATACTCATCAGGTCAGGCAGCATCTGTGGAGAGAATGTTTCCAGTAGATGACATTTCATCAGAATTCCTTCACCTGGGCTCTTTTGCATTCAGCCAACTGCCTAGTGTTTAATGTTTCTTCAGGGATCCCTTCTGCTTGCAGTAAGTCCCTGCTCAATCATAGAATCCTTAAATTGCAGAAAGTGGCCATTCACTCTGTCAAGTCCACACCGACCCTCCAAACAGCATCCCACCCAGACGCAACCCCGTAACCTCACATTTCCCATGGCTAATTCACTTGGACAATACAGGGCAATTTAGCATGGCCAATCTACTTAACCTTAACCTGCACATCTTTGGACTGTAGGAGGAAACCGGCGCACCCACAGGAAACCAACACAGACACAGGGAGTATATGCAAACTCCACACAGGCAGTTGCCCAAGGCTGGAATTGAACCTGGGTTTCTGGCGGTGAGAGGCAGCAGTGCTAACCACTGAGCCACCGTGCCGCCCAGTGCACCTTTCCTAGTGTATTTGGATCTGCCCTGTATAAGAAAATGTACATGTCAGACCTAATAAGTCAGGAGCTCTGTTACATTTAATAAGTGAACCCCTCAAGCCCCATAAGTACACCAGTGACATTAGTGAGCCAGTTAGGATTTTTACAGTATTTCTTCCATTTCCATAGCCATGTTTCTTCATACCAGTTTCACACTTTAACTGAATTTATTAAACTTAATTTTACAACTTGTTGCAGTAAGATTTGAACTCAAACTCTAGATTGTAAGTTCACACCATAATCACTACACTCTTGTTATAGTCCTGAAAGCTAGTTGATAAAGAAACCAGAAACAATCCTCACTTGCTTTGATTTATACAGAAAATCATTCAAGGTAAAATGCTCCTAGGTTGACTCATGCCCTTTATTAGTAAATGTTTCTCCAAGAACATTGAATAAAACCATTGGAAGAAGGGCAGATAGTCCAGTCTGCACAAACCCTCCAGTGCCTCTTGCCTAGACCTGTTAATGGAAGAGTCTCTTCATGCTCTTTTGAAATAACCAATAAGGCCAAACTACCAAATTTAATTACTTCAAATTAAAAGATGAACGTGCCTTAAAGGTGTCCTTGAAGGTCAAAAATCAAATATCAAAAGGAAATTTAAGATTAATTGATGTTTTGAGTGAAGATAATGCACTCTAGCACCATGCGTCCTCCCTCCTGTGGTCGCAGAAAGTCCCAACTGGGTCAGTGGGCACCACATACTCCCTTTCTAAGGACATCCAGGTGCAGAAATAATCATGGAGAAGGGGTGGAGAGTTGGATATAATGATCTGAACTGACTCTTTATATGTGCCCAAGCATCCGTCATAAATTGTACTTGATCTGTATGTTCTTGACCTTGACTGATACAATTAACAACTCTCATCGCTAAATGACCTAATGATTTGACTTTTGTTTATCTAAAGCTATGTCACTTACCACTCGACAATTAGATGAAATAAAAACATTTTTCATGAACTTCATAAAAGGGAACAATTGGAACGTAAACAAAGTGCAGTGGTGTACAGATTACATGTCGAGGGGAGATTGGAATTGGTGGTTTTGGTCCGGCATCTAGACTGAGATGATCAAGTAGGGTTTTAGGTCTTTTAGCTGGAGGTTACTTAATACGGACATAAAAATAGTAACTGGAGAAGCCTTTAACTTTACCCCCTTAAACTTGTAAAGAAATTTGAAAATCAGGCTGCAGTTGGAGAGAACAAAATATTCTTGAGTGAAGAAGGGAGTGATGACAGTAAATTTGAAAGATTGGAGCTGGTGCTGTTTGTGAGAAAGACAGTTGATATTGTTGAAAAATATGAGGATGACAAATTGAGCAGATATTGGGCTACATGAACAGAGTCACTCAGTTGGTATTGGTCTTCTCAACTAAGGAAGGATATATTTGTTTTGGCTGGAGTGCCATTGGGATGGAGAATCAAGCAAAAAATGGACAGGCGGAAGACATGATTAGCAGAGACCTCTGCATGTGAGTACATGTAAAGAAATGCTTGGAAAAGCCATGGGAGTAACATGATCATGTGGAAGATGCAAGTAGAGAGTTGAAGTGTGTGGGCAACTTGATGTGGGGGATGAAATTGGGGGAGACAGGTAACTCAGTGGGAAAGTCAAGGGTGAATCCAAGTGAGGGTTGAAATGATCACAGTTGAGGAATCAATTTGTAGAAACGTGGTTCATTAAGTCAGTGCAATTTGAGTAAAGGGCAGTACCTGGACCCCAAATGAAGGTAATGGTAATGGATGAGCAGAATCTTGAAGAATTGTAGAATGTGCAGTACATGAAGAGGCATCTGAGTCATCAAAATGGCTGGCATGTCACAGCAGATCATCACAGGTCCTTCCACTCTTCTGTACACTGGTGCCTGTTAAGTAATGAGAAATCTGAAGTTCTGGATGAAGCTACTGGAAAATAGCAAGGCTCTACCTCTTTACTGTGGTCAAGAGGACAGTGCAGTGCATTCCCATAATTTGTCATGAGTTACTCACCAGATCATTTAAGGAGAATTTCTTTTACAGGTTGATCATACATATAAAAGCTCAAATACCAGTTGTCTCGCAGTTAACCAATTACTGTCCTCTGGAATGTGAGGGTGATTGACAGTATCCAGTTGATTATAAGGTGGCACATTTAACAATGGAAAGTAGGAATTAATGTGGTCTCTGTGGCAGATTTGGTTTGAGCAATACCTGGACATCATCCAAGATTTCATTAATGATTGATTCCTAGTCTGGTACATTGTCTAGTCCGGGAGGGGTGATGGTACCTCTAAGTCACCTCCAGTTAACTCGTAAGTCAGTGTCTTAATGGGTAATGTGGTCTAAATGGACGAGCACCACAAAGCTTACTGGTTTTCTGTGCTGGTTAACTGTATAGCTTTAGCTAAGTAAACAAGCCATATCCCCAAATTCATGATAACTTGAACCACACTGCACTTGAGTATTCTACTGTACCTTTTCCAACAGTATTTACATTTCAAAATGCTTCATTGCTTGAAAAGCAGTTCAAGATTGTCGATGACTGTGAAAAACACTATGAAACTGCCTATTTTTTTTAACTTTGACTCTGTACTTGTGTTAATAGGATGTTTCTGGGGCATAAGTGCAATTAAAATTAGGCAAGCAGGATCTAATTGTAGCTGCCTCCATCTCTCTCTCCTCCCCCCCCGCCATTCACTGTAGATAAGTTTAAATAGCCTTGATTTTCATATGTGTCAGAGACCTGCAGGACAAGAAATAAACACCTCACCAAAGAAATCTCAGTTAATCAACCAGAAAAGGAAAGTTAAAAACAAAGCGTGAAATCAAAGGAGATGCCATTTGACCAGTGAAGTCCATTCTCTTGAGACCACATACAACCAAACTGTCCAACCATTTAATCTGTTGCAGGAGAAATTTTAGTATAAATGCAATGCAGAATAGCGCTATAGCACAAGGCTGAGATAACGTTGCTTGAATGTTTTACAGTCTTGTGAAACATGTATAATGTTTCCCGATATTACAACTGTGTCTACATTTCAAAAGTAATTCATTGGCTGCAAGTTACTTCTGGATGTCCAAAGGTCATGAATGATACTCTATAAATGCCAGTACTTTCTTGTGTTATTCTGCATGTAAGCCCTGATTGTCAGTACAGTGATCTCTGTACAGTGTACCATACACGGAGCAGAATGTAATGCTCTTCCCTTGTGCCATGTTTGGTGGTGTGTAGGGCATTTGACCAGGTGGGAGGTGATGGTTTTTGACCCCACCGCCTTCCTGCTTCCACCTCAATGAAGTTTGTGGCAGGAAGGTCATATGTGGCCAATTGAGTCCCTTAAGTGGGCAGCTAACGTCCACAAAGTCCTCAGCCTTTTGTTGATGGCAATAATTAGCCGAGTAAGCTTACCATATAGAACGCAACAAGCAAACACACACAAATGCACACCCCCTTCAATGCATGCTATATATTATAAAGGAATTGCAATATTTCCGTCTGAATAACATTTACATCCCACTTGGTCTTTGATTTTGTGCATTTTAGACCTCTTCAACACATTGGGCTATATTTTGGCAAAGTGTCATTTTCGTCAAATTTCATGGAAGGTTTCTCACTGCGAGGCCTTGTCAGTTTTCTTATGTATCGTTCTCAGCATGCCCCATTGGCATCCCTTTTATCCAATGCTCATTCACTTTCCTCTACTCACCGTAGCTGGAACTTCTTGCCACTGCCAGGATATACCAGGATACACCACCATCCCTTATCTGGATTCCATCTTGGAACCCCAGCCATACACCTAGTCGTGTGCTGGCTGTCGGGAATTTACCTTTCACTGTCAACGTTCTAGCACAGCAGCTGCAAACCAATACAGCTTATGGTACAGAGATGGCATAGCTTATAGTTCCTTGCACATACAAATACGCGTTCCTAAGCTTATTGCTGTTTAAGCACCGAGCCACACAACCCATCTGATATAATTTGTGTAAGTCACTTACTCTTTCTGTACATCCCCACCATCTGAGTTGTCTCCTATTGTTCAATGTGGGTCCATAACACACGGACATCTTCAGTTGCTTCAAAACATTCACTTTCATGAACGGTTACCAAAATAAACAAAAATCAAACAAACAGGAGTTACATTTGCCTCTTGGAACAAAAACTGCTTGCATGTTTGTCAAGCACAACAATTTTACAGTCAATGAGTAATCCCTGCACCCAGCTGTCCTCCACAGGAACTGGTTGTTGTTGAAGTCCTGACAGGCTTGTAGCACCCGATATTGCTGTGTTGTATGTATCAGGAGCCGTGATGTTCCTCCTGGTGAACAGCCTCAGTTTCCTACTTGGAAGCCTGTTCATACTGGCCTGGTTCGTCAGTGTCCATTAAATCCGCACTCTGCTTTCTCCAGCTGAGCAGAGCACAAACTGCTATGCCTATCATCTGCTCCACCAGCATGTTGCTGGTACATTGATGCAATGGCACCTTTTTGTTGTGTTATGAAACGGCCCTCTCAGTGCAGCATGTGGTACAGTCTATCACAGCCATCGCCTGGGGGATGCAGCGACGTTACCAAATCCCATTGCTTCAGGCTGCAGCACTGACCTCGTCACAGGGAAATGAGAGGAAGCAGCTTAATCTGGCAGAAATGACATTGTTCACTCTATGCATTCATGGATGGACGATTGAGAGATCCCACACAGGGTGCCTTGGAAGGAGGCAGTCACATGGAAGTTCAGTGTAGCTGTCAGCAGGATAGGATGGCTACCACTTCCACTCCTTCAGGCCTCAGCTCCTGCTCTAGCAGTTGGTATAGTTCTGTGACAGTGTCATGGAACGTCCAAAGCCTGCACTGTCGCTGAGCCCTGTCGTCTGGAGGAAATGGCATCAAGGGTGAAAAACTCTGGCCCTTCTGTGTGCATCCTGAGGGACCTTTCAGCTCTGTCCTCTTCTTATGGAGGTACTGGAGGCTGTTGCTGGTCCTGAGCTTGCAGACTCGTCTGTTTCTCCTCCTTTTCTCTGCACCTTCATTGCATCACAGCAACAGTGATGATAACTCGATCATACTCTTAATGAACCTGTTTGGGGGGGGCGGTAAAGAAGCAGAATAGGTCATTGTTAACTTGAGGAGTCAGCATTAACATCACGTACAAAAGAAAGCTTTAGATACTCCTCTGTACAGTGGGACACGGACCGTTCAGACAAGGGGTCAATAGAATGCCTCATCGTGGCATTCTGACAATTCAGGTTGAGAGGGAACCAGTTCTGTGTCCCTGCCCACTGAGGAGGTCTTGCATTTGTTTTGTGCTTTTGAGGCCACAAGTGCCACTTTTAAGATTGTCTGTGATTATGTTTGCTTCTCTGAGATGTCTATCTTCAATTTTTAATGACCAATAACACAGTCAACATTGCATATATTGGTCACAAGCACTCCACACACCATTTTACACTGCGTGTAATTCACATGCGTGCAATAATATCATTACAGACAATGACAACCTGCACTCTGCAAGTGCATGATTGAAACACTTGCCCCTTGAGGGGCCTGCCATCACTCAGAAGTGGAACCTGTATTTTTGGTCAGCGAGCAGCCACTGACTCTGCCCATTCCAGACATGGTCACAGCTAATTTCCATTGGTAGGTCGCACTAAGCACTTGATAGACGGTGGAAGGCACGGCAGGTTATTCTTGACACCGTGACGACTATGTTCGGTCTGGTTGTCGGGACCTCAGGCCCTGAATCTCTGAGTCCCTTCCACCTAACACCCCCTGGGCAGTTCATCTCTACTGAACCTCTACATGTTCCCACCTGTCACCTTGAACTGTGACATCAACACTCAGCTTTATCCCCAAGGCCCATTACCATAGATGGTGCATGGCAGCCTGACACTAGGCATGAACTATCGCACTCTTCCCACATTGATGCCATGATGATGGTGGCCCCTATCACCCTCAACCCCCCCACCCAGGATCCAGTGTGCTCTGATGCACTACCTGATTTCTCCCCCTTCTGTCCCCCCCCCACCCCACCAACACCTTCACTGCCCTTGCACCCTCCACGTCCCAGGTTGCTGCCTCCAATCCCAGATTTGAGTCCCCACCTCTCTACAGCGACCTCTGATACCTGTACCTGATATTCATTCTGCTGACCACCAGACAGCTCTAAGACTGACATGGGCGAACAGACTCACGACTGTGCAGACCCTTGACCGATCTCCGTGCATATCCCCCATTGATGATGTGCTAACCCCCTGACCAGTTGCAATGGACCTGCAGAACCGACTATGGGTTCATTTCCTGCGTTGTAGTGAGGTGGAACCTCCAATGCTCCAAGTGGATGTCTGAATGTGCCCAAGCCCCTGGACTGTTCAGGGTTAGTGCAGACACTGCACCTGGAGTGTTCCCTGAGATCATGGTGCTGGGTATTCGTGATGGAAGTTCAGACGAGCAAACAGCAAACTGGAGTTGCCAGCTACCTGTTCTGGGAATTCTCTTTGTCTATTTTCTCTCTGGCAAAGGAGAGTGCATATTAATGAGGTGAGATTCAGTGATAGTGGCGGTGATAGTGATAATTCCCTGTAATAGGCCTTTCACTGCTCATTAGAAAGAATCTCTTCTCCATGTCCAGAATGTAATTGGAAAATTGACTTATTGCTCCCAACATTGAGAAGGGCTTCACTGGGGTTCTCATGCGATTTCTCCCAAATTTCACACCATTCCCCATGTCATTCAGGGTCTGCAAAGATTCTGCCCATTTATTATGTAATAGTTTAGAACCATTTACACACTAGGTAAACTTGCACCTAGTGTGTGACAGTCTGAATTTATTATCTTGAAATGCTTCCAGCCTCATCACTGCAACTGATAGCCCGTAACCATCAATAATTTATGCTAGTGTTAACGCAGCTCAAAACACACACACTCTTCAGATGTAACCCAAACTGGGAGAACACTAGAGGAGCAGAGAAATTACAGAGTTAATTAAAGAAGACTTTGGCTTCAGTGTCAGTAAACACATCCCATGTAATATCTGGATACTCTGGTATTCAGATGGACAGTGTAAGATTTCAGTCAGCAGGTCACACTGAATATAGCATCGCAGTGAGTAGCCTGTGTCTGGTGCAATTCTTAAAACCAGGCATGTTTCCTTGCAGTGCCATCGCTGATCTTGCCTTTTTGAGTATCAACGAAGGGATGGGTTCATTCTCCACAGCCACGTATGGCAGTGAAATGTTTCTGTGCACCATGAGTTTGTTTCAGAGCTATATTTCTTTCTCCGGGTTCAGCCTCAGTTGGAACAGGTAGCAATAAAACAAAATTGTAGATGAATCATTCACCGAACTGCTATTTGTGGAAGAAAAGTGGAAAGGTGCTGGGGAAAGGCTTGAGTAGTGAAGAAAATCTGCCCTAAATTGGTGCTTCCTTCTGATGGCATTGCTTTGTTGCCAGATGACTGTGGTGCTCGGGGGGATTGCCACACTAGGGGAAAAGCCACACTAGTTAACCCTTCATTGCTCACGTTGGTTAGAATCCCCGAGTGCCTGAACTGCAATGAGGGGGAAAAGGTGCAGCTCAAACATATGACTACTCAGACTTCAGAATGCCTATTGTTATTTGTCTGTTGTGCAGTCTATTGTAGACTGGCTAAGAGAGATTAAACAAACAAACAAAACAAAAGAAGCTGGGCTACTTCACAAATATAAGACTTTTTTTGGATACAGAGGGAAAGCGATGCTTAGGTCAAGCCTTTCAGATCACATTCAAATAAACTAATCAGCGTGGTATCAGCTATATTAACTAAGATACTGTGCAATAATCATTCTTCTGTAGGCAAGAACATTTCTCTCTGGCCGTAGTTGAGGATTTTTAATTCTATGTTGATGTCTTTGAATTCAGCATTCAGATTAAGTAACCTGCTTATATATCTACCGCTCTGAACCTTACAGAACCTGGTGTAAATCATGACAGGTTGTATCTCACCAAAAGAATGACCTCGGTTGAACTGAAAGCGAGCAAGACTATCCCAAAATATCATTATTATGTAGTCCCAAGAACTATATCAATGTCCTTCTTGAAAATCTTCGATATTTTGGCCTCAATAGTTTCCTGTGGCAGAGAATTCCACAGGCTTGCCACAGTCTGGGTGAAGAAATTTCTCCTCATCTCTGTCCCCTTATCCTTAGACCGTGTCCCCCAGATGTAGACTCATCAAGAATACCCTTCCTGCATCTACCCTGTGTAATTCAGTTAGAATTTTATACGTTTCTTTGAAACCCTCCCATACCCCCACCGCCCACCCCTCCACAATTCTTTTAAACTCATAACAAATATAATCCTGACCGATCCAATATCTCCCTGTATGTCTGTTCCGCCACCTCTGGACGCAGCAAGACATCCTTACTCTTATACTCACATCCTCTCGTTGTGAAGGCCAACATACTAGTTTCCTTCTTCACTGCCTGCTGCATCTGCAGGCTTATTTTACGCGACTGGTGCATGAGAGGTTCCGACAGAGCCATGGCCTCAGATTGCCTTGAGTGTTAGCAGGCTACTCATTATCGTTGCAGCATGGCTGAGCATATTCTTGCCCTCCCCTTTCTACATGTACATCACCCAGGGAAGTTGCTGGATTGGTTGCAACTTGAGTGCAACAGCAGTGGTTTGGTCAGTTACACACTAACGTCCAAATCTCCGAGTTTCCCACTCCAGAGCTTCAGCATAAAATCAAGGATTATGCTGTGGTGCCATGCCGAGGGAGCACTGCACCGGTGGAGGTGCTGTTCTTCAGATGAAACTTAAACTGAGGCCTCATCGGCCTGCTCGGGTGGATATAATATGGCACTATTTCATAGTAGAGCAGCTGTGTTGTTCCTGGTATCACTGCCAATATTAATGCCTCAATCAACATCACACACAAAAAAAAATTATCAGGCTATATTTGTTGCTCATGGGAGTTTGCTCAGCTCATAATGGCTGCCAGTATTTCAAAAATTATTTTGTGGCCTGTAAAGTACTTTTGATGCATCCAAGTGGTCATTAAAAAATGCAAGTCTTTCTTTTATTTCTTGGCTTGGCTGATTTTCTGCTGTACCCTATCCAAGTGCATTGAAACCAACTGTAGCCCCAGGAGGAGGCACAAATTTGGGACTTTCTGGACAGTAAACTTATCTATCAGGCCATTGGGGAGCTTGGCTTTATATTCTTCAAGAAACTCCAGGGAAGGGATTGTTTACAACAAGAATGATTGAACAATCTAACTGATTTACAACAGAACCTGACAGCAGTATTCTCACAAGTACAGCTGTCATTTTAGCAGCACAGCACTGCTCTTTGACAATAAAACATTACAGCCTCTGGAGCAAGCACTTTTTTGAGTATGTTGGTTGAAGCTCCATGGGAGTGGGTGGGGATACGGAGCACAGGCTGCGCACATATGGACAATACACGTGAGATATAGACCTCTTGAAACCATCACTCCAAACATTTAGTTGTGTTGCAAGTCAGTCTCAGTCGTCCAGATGAAATACCACAGGTAGATCTTAGTACGTGACTACTGCACATGGACTAATATAGCCTGGTAGTCTGTTCCTTAAGAAATTCTTTGCTGAACCATCTTTGCCACAGCATATATATTAGCTTGTGGGAGGGTGTGATTTGTTGCTGCACAATTTCTCCACGTCATTTTGTGCCCCCAGCAGTCCACAAAGGAAGCTAGTGAAACAGTTCGCCTGGTTGTAGCTGTTTTTCTGTCTGTCAATGCCCCTCTGAGCTGAAATTTCCCAATGATCAGGACTCTGTATTTCCATACAAATAGTACCAAGCAATCAACCAAGATAGAAACAGGAGAATATAAACTTAAATGCTTACTAGTAAAATTGGTGCCAAGCAAGCAGTTCTCAAAAAGGAAAAAGAAACTTCCCACCTCATTTCCTTCATTGTTTCTGAGTCCACTCATTCCCTTTCCCTTGGGTGGCTCAGTGGCTCGCGTTGCTGCCTCACAGTGCCATGGACCCAGGTTTCATTCCACCCTTGGGTGACTGTTGAC